ATTCCAGTTATCATTTCAGTGGATGCAACAGAGCTTGAGGTGGCAACGCAAAGCACAAAAGCTCCTGGAAAACTGAGAACAACATCTTCTTCTAACCACTGTTCAATACTGTTAATTTGGCTGGAATTCTTTCACCTAATTTTACCCCAGTTCCTCTGGTAGGGGTCTGCCACATTTCTGGATAACCTCCAGCCAAAAAATGATATCTTGTGTTTCAAACTAAGGCAAGTGAGGACGGAGGAAAGAATTCTGTGTGGCTGGAAGGAGTTCAGGAAGGACACTCCATTCAATGCTGGGAAGGGCAGAATTTGAAACCTACCTCCCTGAACCGATCCTGCAGCCCCATTTTGAAGCTTTTGACAAAGAGATCTGGCATGAACCTCTAGCCAGGATTTTTGGACTTATGGTGTCTTTTCTGCATCATCTATGCCCAGCGGTGAAGACATTACAGGTGGAAAGCTAGAGCTCCTCCCCCAACTGATAAAGGTATCTAAAGGTGGCCTAATAAAGGTATCACATCATCCTCACCTTGCCTATGAGTTGCCCATCTTTGTGTCCCTCTCCCTCTGCTGGGGAGGTAGTCTCGGCTTGCTCTCCTCCGCAATGCCTATCATAAAACTCAGCTTACTTCTGCATCTTGTTCCTTAACCAGCTATTAATCTGTGAGAGGACTTCTCCTCTTGTTCAGTGATTTTTAAATGTATTCAGAAGTGGAACCTGCTTCACATTGATTGACTGTGTCAAATGCTTTGGGGGTGTCCCCCCACCTCAAAATATTTTTGGGATCACCCTCTTGGTGGGTGAGTTGATTCCCTCAAAAGAATCTAGAAGGTTTTCGAGGCTGAGTTGTTCTTCACAGAAATCATGGGTTTCTCCCCTTCCACATGCTGCATAATTCTAGCCTTTAGTAATTCTTTATACCAATTTTTCCTGATATAAACACTAGGCTAGCACATCTGTAATTTTGGAGATCTCTTGCCAGTCTGGTCCCTGCATCTCTTTTAAAATATTAGTGTACGGTAGTCAGTTCTCTAGTTCTGCTCAGGAAGCTGATTTTAGTAATGAGCTGTGTGTGTTTTTTCCCCAACAAAACTTTTTCTATAAATCTGAGCTCATCAAAGACTATTGGATAGATGCTGTTCAGACCAGCTGTCTTTCCAATTGTCACCTCTATTTTATTTATTTCTTGAGATGTATTCCTCTAAAAATGGTTCAATTATAACTATTTGTATAATGTCTAAGGCTGTTAAGATGAACACCAAGAATTATTTCAGCTTCTCTGCAGTTTCTCTGTCTTCCTCCTGGTTATTGGGTGCTGTATATACAGTATGTTGATATAAACAAAATATTCCTTTACATCTTAGTTGACAAACACTGTAACTCTTTCCTGGCAGATTTCCTTTATTCTGATAAACCTAAAGACATTTGTGTTAGTTTCAAAGTCCGCCAAGAATGTGCTAATATTTCAAATTCTTTCCTTGTTTGTTTTATTTTTAACATGCATTTCTTCTGCCAGAGTTTGTGCTCTTTCTTCTTATCCTCATTTGGAGAAAATGTCCAGTGATATGTTGTTTCTGCCTTTCCTAATCTGTATGAGCTTCTGTTGTAAAGTTGTTTCAAGTAATCCCCAGATGTTTTGAAAGAATTTGGTCTTCCTCACTCTCCCATTTATGGGGCCCCAAGAAGTCTGAGGAGACTTCAGGGCAAGGAACAAAAAAATCACTCTCCCTTTTATGTTCCTTTCAACTGACCTCTTAATATTTGAGACAGTAACCTGGGCAGATCCTTGCACGAGAGTAGATCAGTCTGGGGCAGTTGTGCAAGTTATGTCCACCAGACTGGAGTGTGCAATGCTCCATGTAAGCTGGTGAGGTCTGTTTGCTTCTGAGATAACCTTCTGTTTGGGATCTGAAGACAAAGTGGATCCTGTTTGGGCCTCCCTCTCAGTGGGCTTCTGAGAATCTAAGGACCATGTTTGCTTTTTCAGTGATCTCAAGTGAACCACATCCTCCCCACCATTACCCCGATCCAAGTGGATCAGGAGCATGAGACAGTGGTGCCTCGCTAGACAGTTACCCCGCATGACAGTTTTTTCGCTAGACATTAACTTTTTGCGATTGCTATAGCAATTCGCTAAACAGTCCTACAGGGGAATTTCGCTGGACAATGTTTGGTCTCTGCTTCGCAAACTGATTTTCGCTAGACGACGATTTTGACAGCTCCCTCCGCGCTCGCAAAACAGGTGTTCTCAGGACCTAAGCTTCTCAAGACAGCTATTTAAACAGCTGATTGGCAGTTCGCAAAGCGGCTTTCCTATGGCCGATCTTCACTAGACAACGACGATTCTTCCCCATTGGAACACATTAAACAGGTTTCAATGCATTCCAATGGGAAAATGCTTTTCGCTAGATGATGATTTCGCTAAATAGCAATTTCAGTGGAACGGATTATCATCGTCTAGCGAGGCACCACTGTATGTTATTCAAAGGCTGTTTTGCCCCAGGAACTTTTTCAGACTCTCCTTAGGAACACAAAGTGTTGTGCTGTTGGCTGCAGAAACAGCCCTATAAAGGGCAGATGGATCTCCATGTGTCTTCTGTTTTCATTCCAGCTTCCAGTCTCTGGGCGGTTCAATGGGAATGTCTGGTGAGCAGTCCCCACCACTCCAGCGTCCAAGTAGCAGACAGGTAAAGATTTCAAAGAGACAAAACTGCTTGTGGCCGTCATGTAGAAGATGATGGCTGTCTAGTGCCCTCCGTGTCTGAGCGTTCTGTGTGTGTGTGTGTGTGTGGGAAATGGCCCAAATGTGGTAAGGTTTCCCGTCCCAAAGTGCATTCAGTGTGAAGGGTCGCAATGGGGAGAGAACAGAAGCAGCCTGGAGAATACAGGTAAGCAGGGATATTATGAGCAAATGCTATTAAAGAAACATATTCCATAAGCTGATCTCCTGTCCCTTCGTGAGTCATACAGAAATAACTTTCCCATCATCAAATACCTGTATTTGAAAAGCATGATCCAGTGGCATAGGATGACTTGCCTTGTTTCACGTAGGAATTTTGACAGTGGAAGAAAAAAACAAGTAGCAAGACCACATCATCTTTTTAATGGATGCCCCTCCCCCCATTTTCCAGCTTCTCTTAAATCTTGTACTTGTCAACAGGCGTGAAGTGACGTCTGAGCAAAGCATGGCAGTCTTGCTGTTTCGAACGACAGCTTTGCAGAATCTCCCAGAAGGACCTGCAAACATAACTGTGCTGTCTCCCAGTTGACTAATTTTAAAAAAATGCATATCCTAAATGCATACTGAGCCATGCTTCTGTTCGAATAGAGAGGCCGTCTTTTCCTTGAAAGGATGCATTGGCTGCAGATACAGAATTGACTTCTTTTCTAGTTGGGACTCCGAGTATGTCTACTTTGCCCCTGCCACCGCCCTCCGACTGTCCCGCAGGCTTTCTTGCTATGATCACCGCACTGTTTCCCACAGGTCCTTGCAGAGAGCTGCACACCTGGCTAGAGATGTTTGTTTGTTCTTACCTGTGTTTCCAGGTAACAGCTGGAAACCTGTTTAGGGAGGTGCCACATGCTGCTTTTGGACACAAGAGACAAGGTGTTGACAGGTTGGGCAGCCTTTCAAAAGCCTTGCTTGTGTTTCGTTCCTCCTGGGATCTATTAAATCTTCTATTCAAAGCGGCCTCTCCTCTATGCTTCAGCCAGAGGGAACGATTTGTTCTATTAACTGTGGTAGAGCCGAGACTGAATTCGGCAGTCCTGAGGCAGCTTTGCAGTGGGGCTCAGGGGATCTGTAGCTATTCAACAGTGCCTCTTCTTGCTATGTTAGCAGCTGCCTGGGTGGACTGTAGGTCTTAAAACCACATTGTGCTGTGGTTCCTCCCCCCCCAACCCCGCGCACCTCTTTCAACATGACCTGTCACTCTGTTAAAGGCTGAGTCATAGGATCCTCTTGATGTTTCCTAGGCTGGGTTCTTGTTAGAGTGTATGGTTCTTTCCAAAGGAATTAAGCCTCTTTTTCAGTCAGCAGAGCTTGAAATTGTTAGGTTGCTGTTTTTGTTTTGTTTTGGTGGTGCTGGGATGCGATCTGAAGTTTATGCAGGTGTAACTGGGCATATGAGAGCATGCTGGGTCTGAGATGCCGCTTCCAGTGGAGAAACAGGTTGAGCCCAATAGAATCTCCGTAGTATTAAAGAAAGCAGTCTTCTGGTCTGAGACGGTGTTCTTTTTTTTTTTTAATGGATTGTTGTGTGGTGTTCTTTTTTTAAAAAATGGATTGTTGTGCTCTATTTCTTTTAAATGTGTTTTTAATATTGATTTTATTTACCATTTTAGTATACTTGCTTAATTCTTTTAAAAAATACTTTCTCTTTTTAGCTTTTTTTTTTTTTTTAAAAAAGTCAACTTGTTCTGCTTATATACTACCCCATAGTGCTCCTCTTTTTAGCTTTTTTTTTTTAAAAGGCAACTTGTTCTGCTTATATATTACCCCATAGTGCTTAAAACACTCTCAGGGCAGTTTACAATTTAATTATGCATACATTGTGCCCCCCCCCCAGAAGCTGGGTACTCATTTTTACCAACCTTGGAAGGATTGAAAGACTGAGTCAACCTTGAGCTGGTTACCTGAATCCAGTGCGATTGAACCAGGCCATGAGCAGAGTCTTGACTGCAGGACCGCAGTTTAACCACTATGCCATAAGGCTCTTTTAAAATATTGTCTTTTTAATGATGTAAGCCACCTTGGGTCCTTTTAAGGAGAAAGGTGGGGCCAATATATTTCAAACACACAAACAAGACTAACAAAGAGTCTTGTGACACTTTGGTTTATTTGGCAAAAGTTTTCCTGGACTGTAGCCTACTTCTTCAGAGGCAAGTGTTCTCTAAGTCCTGAAAGCCTGAAGTCATTAGTGGTGTCTTGCAACATACAGTATTCTAACTGACTACTCACAAGGGTGTTTATGATAGCACTAAGAACTTGAAAATGTCCTGGCAGCATTCTGCTTTGGAATGCTTAGAAATCCAAGGTCCTTGGTGGTCATGCTGTATAAGACATCCTCCTTCAGAAGGGTTCACTGTATTTTATCCATGTAATTCTATCCCCCCATCCCTCTCCATCTTAGACAAATATTTTCTCTCCTCTGCACCCTTGTTTTCTTGTAAATACCAATGTCAATCCCTGCTAGGTTGGGTGGGAAACGGGAGGTCTAGAACAATTACGAATTGTGCTGTGAAATAAAGCATGCGCATTAACTCCACCGAGAGAGTTCATTCCAATTTGCAAAATTCGAATTGCAAAATTTTACTTTTGTCCTAGCTGCTTATGGGTTGACTTAATAGCCTGCCCTGTCTTGAAGGCTTTGGGTGGGTGTCGAAAGTAAAAATAGCGCTGCGTCCTATTTAGGAAAAACCACACTAAAGGATAAATATTTCCCAGATTAATCCTGAGCTATGAAGGCCAGCCCAGACAGGTTATGGCTGTGTTGAGGCTGGACTTTGACAAGTCCTCAAGTTGGAAACAAGTTCACACCAGCAGTGAAGGCAGCTAGCTCTTCATCATCTTTGCTGCCAGTGCCTCATGATGGTGTTGGAGGAAAAATCCAGATAGGGTTGAGAGCTGGGTTGCAGAGTGACTAAAAAACGAAGCTATAAATTGTGATGTCCCCAGATGAAATCTCACATCATCGTGACGTCACTTGGTGACCTTAGGATATCCCAGGATATGGCTATGCAGCAGGAACAATGTAAAATGGATCCAATGCGAAGCCACACCTGGAAAGCTGGGTTTCCCTGGGTTCATTTATGACACGGGAGTCATCAGAGATTGGGGAAAGAATAAGTCTTCTGTGCAGCCTGTTAACAGTTTGAATCCTATCCTCCCGACACGTGGTCCCTGGGTCTGCTCGTTTCCCCTTTTCTCTTCCATTTCTTTCTTTTCTTCTAATGGATGGCTGTCCCAGCACGAGGACAGCAAGGTGACTAAAGAGAGAAAGAAAAAAGCAAGAATCGGGAGAGAGACAGGAGGAAATTTTCACTCCAGCCTTGTTTCCAGCTTCTTAATGTAGCTTTGCTCTGCTCTGGCTGCCCAGATTTTCAGGAAGCATGCCTGTTTTTTTATTTATATATAAGATATATATTTTATGCCGTTCATCTGACTGAAGCCTACTCTGGGCAGCTATAACAGACCTAATTTAAAACGTCCTTCTCTCTCTCTCTCTCTCTCTCTCTCTCTGCCTTGCTCTTTTAATCTTTGATCACCTTGCTGACTCAGTGCTAGATTGGTAAGCCTTTAAAAGAGAAGGAGGAAGAAGGAACAGGAAGGGGAGATGAAAGAAGACCCAGGCACCACATGTGCTGAGGAGAGGATTCAAAAGGCAGTCCTGCCTCTCTCACTGCTGGTGGAGCTGGCTTAGAATGGCTCTAAATACAACAGCTATAAACCCCTCCACCTTGGCTGAAGCAATCACACTGCTTAAACTGTTGGTAAAGTATTTGATTCGAAAAAAGTAGAAGCCCCATTGCCGGAGGGGAAAAACTACTGATGTATATGTAAGGAACTCTGGGCTTATTTGGATTTACACTTTTCCCTTGAATTGCATGTGTTTGAACAACATGGTTTTGGTTATACATGGATTTTTTTAAATACACACATAAATAAATATTCCAGTAAATAAACATTCCAATAAATACTGTACCCTTGGCTACCCAGAACCTCATGAATTCAAAACTGAAGGCGTCAAAGTAGTGTACTTTCCTGAAACACATCACAAGAATTATACGTGGATTTTGAACTGCATGGGGGTCCTGCACTCCTGACCCCAGTGTTTTTGAAGGGAGAAGTGTCCTTTTACATCATGTAGTTGATGGAAAATAATACGAATCAGACTATCCCAATCCTGGAGCATTTCATGTATTATTCTTAGGTGTATCCACTGACACCCTCGGCCTCAGTTCCCAACCTTTAGTCTGCAAAAAGAGAGATAGCGAGATAGAGAGAGATAGTGATATTGGTCATGATAATAATAATAGTGACTATATCGTTCTGCATGTTTAATTCTAGAATGTGTGTCTGATACCAGGGTGTTCTCCCCTGTCTTTGCCGAGTCGGCTGTGTTAGAACCTTTCTGGCCCTTTCGAATGGGCTTCTTCGTAGCCAGTTTCCCTAGAGAAATCTGTTTCTCTCCTCCTATGGTCTTTGAGCATCTTGCCTCCGTGCCCCTCCTGTGTCCTGGCATCGCCTCCTCCTGTTGCTCTTGGGCTGGGTGCTGTGTTGTTTGTTTGCTTATTTTGGCTCCAGGGCCTGACCTCTCTCTGGTTTTGCTCTGTTCTGGGGCTGTTTTTCAAGCCCAAATTGGGAAGGGAGGTTTGGCTCCAGAAGGCAGGGCTCGCCAGCTGGCACCTGGCTCGCCGCAGCCCCACAGCCCCTTGGCTCCTCTGCTGCATTTTTCTTTCCTTTCTAACATTTATTTGCTTTAGTGCTGCTTGGCCCCTGGCTTGGCCCCCTCCCTCCCAAGTGGCTGCATCAGTACTGAAGGCTGAGAATGGAGTGCGGGAGGGTGGTGTGAGCAGGATCCTGGGCCCGGTTGGTCCTCACTTATCTTATTTCCCCAGAAAAATTCCTTAGCCCTGAAGTTCTTGGCTAAGGTAAGAAGAGAACAGCAATTGACCTTGGAGAGGACCACTTCTGATGGAAGCCCCAAGGGGGAAAAAAAAAGAGAACTTTCTCCAGACTCTTAACCTCCGTTCCTTTTCCCTTCTTAGGGTCCAGAGCCAGAGAGAAGTCCAGGGATGGGCACGGGTCAGTTATCTGGGGCTTGCATATTAATATATGTCAGGATACTCCTGTAATAGCCTATTTAGGAGTCCCATAACCAGGGTATGAAGGCTGTAGCCATCCCACATGGTTGCCTACCAGCAGCTGACCTTCAGTGGTAGGCTGCTTCTGGATAAGGATGCTCCATTTAGTTGTTGTATGGAATTGACATCGGTAGTCCTCCTCACCCTTATCCTCCTGCCTCCGTGAATTTGTGTCATTCCAAATTATGCATTTATTAATCTGCTTTACCTCCACTGGTTGACCAGAATATCTTACAGAAGTGAAGCCCATGGGAGCAAAAATTAATATAAGACCCTGTCCTATTTTCGGGGAAACATGGTAGATGGAAGCTTTATTTTCATTCTGTTTCAGACTAATTGAACAAAATACGGTAACTTTATTAGGGCTGGCAATCAACCCGTCTCTTGCTTATCTGATCAATAAAGCTGTCATCTTCTCTGCAGTCCGTACTGATGTCAGTAAACTTGATGTTCTGCATTAGCTCTGCCCACAGGTTTTCGGGGAATTTGCTTGGGGGTAGTGAGGAGTCCGGAAGCCAATATCTGTGAATCCAAAATTGGCAACCTTGAACACCACAAGGCTTTTGTGCTGGAGGGTGTGTATGTGTTTGGCAGGTTTTCAGGCTGCAGAGTACTGGCAAACGGAGCCGTTTAGAAAAACCCATGGAATCACATGAAAGGTTCGGTGGGATCTCTATGTGGATTTCATTTCCCCTGAGATTTGGCTGCATGCTCCTGCAAGATGGGTGGGCGCTCTCAAATCAGACCTTGCTTGATTAGGTCCAGCAAGGGGATTTCCTTCAAGCTGGCAAACATAAAAGGGGAAATAGCCCTCCAATTTTTCTTTGTTTCTCTGGTAGTGAGGAGAATGAGTCTCATATACAAATGCTGATTAGTGTTTTTCTCTCTCTAGCCCCTTGCTTTCTGCTGCTCCCAGAAACATTTGCTTCTGCTTAAGAAGGGGTTGCTCCTTTCTTCCACTTCCAAGGCTTTTAAATAGGAGCAGATGCATTGAAGAAGGGGGACTCTTATTATTATTATTATTGAGCTAGTAATTCTGTGACTTCAAAAATAACAGGATTCTTGAGGATAGAAAAAGAAAGATAAAAGGCAAAGAGGCAAGGGGGGCAGCGAGAGCAGCTCCAGGATTCTGGAATGGTAGAATGGGGTCTGCTACATTTCCAATGGGGTGTCTTTCGCTCTTCCTTCTCCATATGTCACTGGGTTTTCCTGGGATAATCTCTTTCTCTCTTCAGTGTGTGTTCTTTGGTCTTCAAGACTCATAGAAGACAAGTCTTCACTTCTACATACTTCTTCTACTCCAGACTTGCCTACGTGCTAGGACTGGTGTGGAGAGAGGTATCCTATTAGGGTTGATGTCAGCCCTGAGCATTCCTGGGCGGCTGCTGGGTCTTTGGTCACGATGTGTCCCCATCACTGTCCTTGGACTTTCTGTGCCTGGGAACAATTTGTCAACCATTCACTGTTTTAATTACCTACAACGTCCTGGACATTGAAATCCCAGTGCTTAGAACAAGTGGTTGACGCGATGCTTTCCCACCAGTCAAAAAATAACTGCAACAGTGTGGAAGGCTACTTGAATGAATAGTCTGCTCTGCAGTTTGATGAGTTAAATTGTAAGGATTTTGTGTTCCAGTGTTATTGCAGGGGTGGGGGAAAGAAAACTAGAACTAGTCAGTGACTCCTGCTGTTGATTTCGGCTTCCTTCCACTGGCAGCCTCGATGCTCTGCCACTCCTGATGGGCATGGATGCAAGCAAGAGTCCCCATGGACGCTTGGCCCAAACTGCTCTTCTTCCAGTTCAGTTGTGTCGCTTTCCCTTTGAGTAGAGGAAAAGATTCCTCCTCAAGCCTTTGGGTGACCTCTTGTGCTCAGTGTATGTACTGCTACACTTTCCTGCAGTCAGCGCATGAACTAAACTAAAACAACCAGATGTGCATTAAGAAATGGCTTTTGAAAATTACGTCAATACGTCACCCCACTCTTGGGCTGTCAAATGCATCCACCCAAAGGCTTAAGGGCACACACTGACCATTGAAACCCAAAGATGAGTTTGAACACAAGAATGTGCAAACATGAATGTACATCCTTTCTACTTCCCCACCCACAACTCCAGTTTCAGGAAATGAGTTCAGAGTAGGGTCAATCTGTTTAACTTTAGCCCCATTCAAGAGACAGTCTGCACTTGACTCCGCCAGTGTATTCCCAGGGCCACGTTGTTTCCTCGTCTTCTTTTTGCTCAGCTGTAATGTTTTGTGCGACTACCAAGGAGATCCTTCTAGTTGAATAAAATGTATGTTGTGCGAATGCATGGGGAGGGCTGTTCATTATTTTGTGCTGCATGATGGAGGGGTGGGGGACTCTTTGCCCTTCAAATAGTTTTTAATTTATTGTTGTTGTTTTTTCTGTTTTGCTCATGTTATTTTGTTTTGTGTAAACAGCCCAGAATAGTGCACAGCGCTAATGGAGTGATATACAAACCAAACTAAACCAAATGGAATCAATCAATAAAATTTTCAAATTATGCAGTATAAACAAAAATGTCTTTAATTTTGGTTGGTTGGTTGGTTGGTTTATTTGTTTATTTACTTACTTACTTATTTAACTTATATGCTGCCCACTCTACCCAAAGGTCTCTGGGCGGCTTACAACAACTAAAATTCAATTAAAATACAATAAAAGATAAAATGATTAGGTTCTACTCTCCATGAGACAGTTTTTTTTTTTTAAAAAAATGGAGTGTTGTGCCTTGTTGTTTCGAATATGTTTTTGGTTTTGATTTTGTTTGCCATTTTAGTGTGGTATCTTTAAAAAATATTTGTGTATCTGCTGTTTTTAGCTTTTAAATGTTGTCTTTTAATGATGTGATCTGCCCTGGATCCTTTTTTAAGGAGAAAGGTGCGGTAAAAATATAACAAATAAATAAAGAAGCAAATGAATGAATGAATGAATGAATGAATGAATGAATGAATGAATGAATGAATGAATGAATGGGATCCCATGGGTTCCTACTGTCAACCTTTCTAGACTTCATTTCTCCCCAAAGGATGTTATATCTTCCCCTTTCCTGCACACTATATTTACACCTTGCCTTTTCTTTTCTTGTGTCTCCTCCAGGAAAGGAGGAGTTTCAGCCATTCTGGAGGGTCTCCAATTACTGTGTTGCCTCCCTTAAATGGCTCTCCCTCCCCAGGAGCATATTCCCTCTCCAGCCCTTGGAAAAACCAGGACAGGAGCACTTCCTCCTACAGTCGCAGTTACAGGTAATCGCTTGCCTAATGGCTAACTGTGAGAGCTCAGGCATGTCCTGGCTCAGATCACAACACTCATCCCTTTATAAAATGGCCTTCAGCAACCTCTCCCTCTTCGCAAGAAACCTAAGGAAGGAATTTTTCCCCCTTTCATAGTGAGAGGATTTTATTTTTTAAACCCCACTTGAGAAATTTTGCAGGAAAACTCATGGAATTGTTCAGATGTTATGGCATCATTTTTATTTTCTGGGAGAAAACATCTTCACAGCTTTATTACAGTGCCTGGCCAAAATTGCATCTTTTCTCCTTAAAATTCACAGAACAGGGCACTGAGCTGTGCAGAATGTGACAATTTCTTGTGGAGAAATAAAGATCAATATGAAGGTGGGAAACTTCATTGGTGCAGGAGGAAGATTTGATCAGAAATCCCTAGTGGGTGAGACTGGGAAAATCACAGAGAACAAGAACGTTTTTTGAGTGTTCTCTACCTTCCTAGTGATGGAGGAGGGGTTTTTTTTTGGGGGGGAGGGAGTAGCTTTAGGGGTTGTTTGGGGCCTGCAACATACTTATCCCCAACTTGCACAGTGGTTGTAGGCTTAACGAAATTACGTGTGTGAAGCTGCTAAGCCAGTTATTTTATGAGAAAATTCAAGGGTGGATCCCCAAGCATCATTAGGTTTACTCCAAAGGAGCTGGAAGGCTCTGCTAATTTGATCAGGCAAACTGCTTTCGGAAGAGCATCTTTTTTTAAAATAACAAGCGTAAATTGCTGTCGAGAGCTACTGTTTGCCTTATGGGGAGGGGAAGCAATGCAGGCGCAGTACATGCTTCCTGCTGGTCTCCTCCTTGCAAGTTTAAGGATGTTTTCTGGTGGATGGGGGTTCAATTAAGAAGAAGAAAGGAACTTTCCCCCTGCCCCCCATGCTGCTTTCCTGATGAAATTAGCCCCTTTGGGCTGCTTTAAATTAAAAAGAGAAAGTGTTAGGAGACCCAGTTGACAATCTTGTGTTTCCTCGGAAGTCAATCCACTGGTCTATTTTAACTCAGTGTTAAAATGGCATGACTTTCTCCAACCTATTGCCTTTCAGACCTTTTAGATCACGACTTGCTATGATCGCTCGCCATTAGCTGCTTCCGATGAGAGTTGCCATCCAGATTATCTGGCCCAGGTTGATCTGCTTTCTGACTGGGAACAGCTCTCGGTAGTCTTAGGAAGAGACTTGTTTTCTTCAAGAGATTCCTTAAGTGGAGGGTGTCAAGGTTTTGGGGCTTTCTCACCTGTATCGTGGGCCTTCCTTGTTCTTTTGAAGTATGCACATGGAGTTTTATGACTATTTCCTCCCTAGTGTTGCCAAGGTACAAGATTGCTCAAGGGAAAAGCAGGCGCATCACATCATTTCTACCAGGTCGTTTATTGGTATAAATCTCCTTTAAAAGGAGAGAGTGAAGCTGCACAGGCAGGGAGCTGGCCTCCCATCGGCTGTCGACTGGGCTTGAAGACTGTAGAGCAGCCAGGAAAATGTGGCCCATTGAAAAGTTGGTTTGCATCCTCTGATTCCCAAGAGGAACGTTGCAGTAGGGGAAGCCTACCTCAGTTTCAGTCCTCGGCCTTGGAAAGAACATCTGCAAGAAGCTTTCTTTCCACAATTCTTTACTGGCGTGCCTTGTCTCTTCTTCTTTTTTCACTTTGCAAATCTGAAGGAAAGAGCCCCCGTATCTCAGTTTTGATTGACACAAGCTCCATTGAGAAGAGGGTACAGTATAAATAAAGGATCTCAGAGTGCTTTGCAGCAGTGGCCTTGAAACACACCAGGTGTTGTGGAACGCTTTATCTGGAGAGAGACAGGCAGCTCTGTGTTTTTGGCCACCTCCCAACCCAAAAATAGGGCCTGTTGTTCCTCAAGGTGTGTCCACGTGCAAGCTTTGAATGCATACAGTTCTATACTGACAAAATTAACCCGAATCCAGAAAGCTGTAAAAAGGCATCCCTTCTCAAAATACCAAGGATTTTTTTTTAAAAAAAAACACCATTATTATGACTGCACTCCTGCCATGTGGGGGCTGCTTGGGTTACAATGGCACTACCTGTATGCTGCTGGATAGTTTTAGGCACCAGGCTGCGAAAACTGAGGTTTGATTCCCCTCTGTGCCTCCTCTACAGGGGCTAATGATCCATAGAGCCCTTTCCAGCTGTTCTAAGATGATGATGATGATTGATATTTGAGTCTTCTACAGTGTGGGCAGACCAATTGTTTTTAATATTCCTGTTGCACTACAGCAACAAAATAAAAACCACATAGTCAGGCAATATGTGTATTAGGACTATCTGTAAACCTACAATTGTGCAGGCTTTTGAATTTTTGAGAACTCTTCAGGCTAAGTGGTTTAAAAAAATTGGGGCATGGTGAGTGAAGAAACATGGAAGTCTAAATATCTGGCGATATGTGGTTATGAGATGAGGTGTGCAGTTAAACTGAGTCCCAAGTGGAAGATTATGGGCTTCATGTACTAATTGTAGTGTATAGGCATCTCATGACCTCTAGCAGTGCCTACAGGGGATGAAGACAAAAAAAAGGTGGACTCCCAACTTTGGAAACAGGGAGTTGGTTTGAATGTTCAGGTCAGGTCCTGAAACGCTGTAGGGGAGAAGGTGACATTTCATTCTGCTTTAATAGCGGGCGTTCTTTATTTCTCAGTTTTTAACTCCCTCTCAAAGAATGGCGCTCAAGGCATCTAAGAGTGATAACATCAGATAAATGCAGTTAAAATATAACACTGATTTGAGACACACCAGTAAAAGGAAGAGCAGTGCCACCCACTTAAATGTATCTGCCACGACCCGGCTTCGTTCCCAAAGGCCCTTCTGAATAGCAAGGTAATTGCCTGTTCATAGAATTCCTGTGGGGAAGAGAAGGTCTTTTCCTTCTTGATAAGGAATGTCACGGCTTGGGAGGGGCCTCTAGAAAAGCTCTAATGGAGAGTAGCTGGCTGCCACCAATGGATCTTTCCCAGAGTATGCTGGGAATTCTATCTGTTCATGGCTCTCTGCTAAAACCGCTGGCAGAACAGGTGACTCTTAAGCAATTAAAGAAAAGGGAGGGAGGGGGGAAATACAGTCAGCCGCCCGCATCAGGGGAAGCACCCATATCTAAAATGTTTCAATTCTCTGCCCAAGATTAGGGAACTGAACTGACTGCCATGTTTTACTACCTGAGAATTTTTGGTAGTCAGTGGAGCCTGAAAAGTTGTTGAGATCAGAACCCCAGGCATTTTGGGATTGCTTGAAAGCCTCCTTCCAAAAATCAGCCACGGCCCACTGGATGTAGCGGCGGGATGCTTCTCTCCCTGTTAGAGTCTCAGAATTCTGCTGATTTCATGGAGACTGGTTAGTGTTATTCCCCTATGCTGTTTCCTTAACTGAAGAAGCATATCTTTTGCCTTTCGGAGATGGAGCAGGCACTTGTGTTGTTTTGGGGGGCCCTTGCTGTTGCACTGCTCTTCCTTTTACTGGTGTCTCTCAAATCAATGTTATATTTTTAACTGCATTTATCTGATGTTATCACTCTTAACTGCCTTGAGTGCCATTCTTTGAGAAGGAGTTAAAAACAGAGAAATAAAGAACGCCAGCTATTGAAGCATAATGAAATGTCACCTTCTTCCCTGCAGCATTTCAGGACCTGACGTGAACCCACCTTGGTGGGAAGGTAAAATGGCGTTCTCCCTACAGCATTTCAGGACCTGACCTGAACCCACCTTGGTAGGAAGGTAAAATGGCATTCCCTGGTCATGCTGGCCACGTGACAATGGAAACTGTCTTTGGACAAGCGCTGGCTCTACGGCTTGAAAACAGGATGAGCACCGCCCCTTAGAGTTGGACACAACTGGACTAAAAATGTCAAGGGGAACCTTTACCTTTACCTTGCTGTTGCAGGAAAGGTTGACCTCCTTCTGTGAGGTCGCTTTGCAAGAAAGGTTGACCTCCTTCTGTGAGGTCGCTTGTTTTTTTGTGAAGTGTGGTGTTGATGTTTTCCAAACTTAACAACCACCATCTGGTATGGTGGAATCATCGAATAGTGGAGTTGGAAGCAGCCATTCAGGCCATTGAGTCCAAACTCTTGATCAGTGCTGGAATCCAAATCAAATCCATTTCTGACAGATGGTTGGCCAGTTTCCACTTGAATGCCTCCAGAGCTGGAGTGCCCCCCACCTTCTGAGGTTATGGGTTCCATTGTCATACTGCTCCGAGTTGGAGTGCCCCCCACCTTCTGAGGTCATGGGTTCCATTGTCATACTGCTCTAACAGTTAAGAGGTGTTATTTTCCCCTGATATTCAAACGAAATCTGGCCTCTTGTAACTTGAGTCCATGATTAAGTGTCCTGCACTCTAGAGTGATTGAGAACAGATCCTGCCCCTCCTCTGTATGACAGCCTTTCAAGTATCTGAAAAATGCTACCCTATCTCCTCTCAGTCTTCTTTTCTCAAGGCTAAACATCCCCAGTTCTTTCAGCCTCTCCTCCTAGGGCTTGGTTTCCAGTCCCTTGAGTATCCTTGTTTTAAAAGCTACTCCTGTTTTCTTGAAGAGATGGGTAGGGTAAGAGTTAATGAAAAAATGTTGATGAAACTGGGCAGGTCCCGGCGTCCTTGGAAGGGAGTGTCTCCCTGCTTTAAAAAGAGGCAAGAAAGAGGGATAGGCGAGGCCTGGAGCCTACCAGGAAAAGAGTTTTCCAGGTGAGAGAGGAGCAGGGATTAGTCAGAACTGAAAAGGGTCTTTAAAACTGGTTGAACTTGAGAGGAACTTCCTTGGCGTGAAAAGAGAGCTGGAGGTGACGCTCTGGAGATACACTTCCAAACGTCAGAGAATACAGTCACGAAAAGGACTTCTCTCTCTCTCTCTCTCTCTTAATACAGTCAGGAAAAGGACTTCTCTCTCTCTCTCTCTTGGCTACTTTGGTGGCTTTACGGTTCGTATTTTGGATAGTGGTGGTGACATCACAGGTAGGATTCCGTTGATGAGCTCCCTGTGGTATTACAAATCCTAATTAGCTTCCTTACTGTTTGGTTAAGGTTGTGGTGTCCTAATGGGGCTAAGTAGTCTAAGAACTGAGAAGCCCTTGGTAAAAATGGGAAAGGGAGGCTTCTCTGTGGCTGTGGATAGATGGTTATTTGTAGTGTATTGCCACTGCAATTATGGCTCTTGGGAACAAATATAAATGGCATGTTGTGGGTTTTGCTTTCAACAAGAGGGATCTACTTTTTCACTTATGGCACAAATTCACGTGCCCTTCCACTCCACCAAGGTCCCTGTTTCCTGGAAGTCCTGCCATTCCCTGGGTCCTAACCCTTTACCCCCAGTTCTGCACTGGGGATGCTGTTGCTTAAAGACCGGTTTGTCCTGTCCTCCTGGAGAAAAAGCTTAAGAGATTTTCCCTCTTTCCAAGCTTCACTGCAGTGATCTTGTTCTTTCTCTTCAGCCTGGATTCAGAGGCAGCCATGAATCATTTGGAAGGGGACTCTGAGGTCTACAAGATGATGCAGGAAAACCGAGAAACCAGGGCCCCGCCACGACAATCGAGCACTTTCCGCATGCTCCAGATGGCTCTGGAGATGGATGAGAAAGGTGAGGGGAGAGAGAGGACAAGGAAAGGTGGCAAGAGTAGTCTCTCTCTCTCTCTCTCTCTCTGTGTGTGTGTGTGTGTTTGTGTGTGTGTAAACAAACATACCTGTATCTCTAAATTTTGTCTCTGGTGCAGGCTTGTTTGTGATTTGTCTGTTTTGGTTCTCTTGTTGTAGTACAAGGGAGAATAAATATTAAAATACCGCCATTTACTTTTTCCTTTGAAGTGTACGGATAGGCAGCTTTGATTTGTTTACTGTTTATCTCCCACTTGCTCCAGTGTTTTAAAAAGTCACTTTATGTTGGCAATATTAAGCTGTGATTAACATTAAATTGTTGCTTTAGTGTAACAGTTTAAGGTTGCACTCTTATGCATAGACATTTGCATGGGAGGAAGTCTCACTGACATTCAGAAGAGCAAAATCATGACTGCGGAGGGCTTAAAGCCCATGGTTGACAGCTTTGGGTCCTCAGATGTTCTTGGACTAAAACTCCCAGAGGTCTTCACCAGTGGCTGCACCGGCCAAGATTTCTGGGAGTTTTTAGTCCAGGAACACCTGGGGTATCCCAAGACTGGGAAGTACTGCAAGAAGCCATTGGCTTGAGTTTACAAAAGTTGAGGACCGGACATATTGAGATTGCTTATTCATGGGGTTGCCGTAAGTGGAGGTGACTTGATGGGCATATAACAATAAGCCTTACTGAACTCAGAAATACATGACTTCTGAGTGGACATATGGGGGTTCGGGCTGTCACATTGGAGGTCTGGATGATTGCATAGCCCCTCCAGTGTCAGAGTCAATATGCTTCTGTATATCCGTTGTGGGGAATGAGAGGGAGGGAGGGAGGGAGGGAGGGATGAATGAAAGGGAGGGAGGGAGCACTGAACTCATGTCCTGTTGGCAAGCTTCCATTAGGCAGCAAGTGGGCATGCTGTTGATGTTGTATTATTTATCTTGCCACTACTAGGTAGCACTTCAGGTGGTTTACCATAGCAAATATAATACAAGTCAACCATAGAAATCATTACAATAAAATTCAACAAGATAAGATTGTAAAACACCAGATCTATAATCTGCCCTGCCTGGAGATACAGAATACTGGACCAGTGGGGCCAGAATTCAATCTAGTGTGATTTGCCTATGTTCTTATGTAATACCCATTCCTTCTATAATACAACCCTCCTGGAACCACGGTCTTCGTCACATAGGTGCCTTCTGATATGCCTTCCAGGATTGTCACCTTTCTGAATCCTAAAATGGGCTTCTTTGTGGCTTTTGCAGGGGGCACAGTGACTCACTTCCCCAGCCAGCTCTCTCCCAGTTCACACAAGCCAGTCAGCAGTTCTGTGGCCAGCAGCAACCAGAAACTTCATACCTGTGAGAAGTGTGGCAGCAGCATCGTGTGAGTGTTCCTAATCCTTAGGGTAGAAGAGAGGGCAGATACAGGCTGGGGGTTTGTCATGTTTCAGTATGATGGTGATGCTCAGGATGCATGAACCCCTTGATGCTGGGCCACAGGATGGTTCTGGACTTGACTCTGGAGGTCCTCTCGGCCTTAAGAAAGTATAGTACAGTATAGTACAGTGGTGCCTCGCTTAGCGATTACCTCATTAAATGATGAATCCACTTGACGGTGAGGTTTTTGTTATCGCTTTTGCGATCGCAAAACGATGATGTTTCAATGGCCAAAAATCGCTTTATGACGATCGGTTCCCTGCTTCGGGAACCGATTCTTCGCATTACGACGATCTGAAAACAGCTGATCGTCGGGTTTCAAAATGGCAACCCGCTGTGCAAAATGGCTCCCTGCTGTTTTTAGGAGGCATTTTTTGCTTTACAGGCACTGGAAAATGGCCACCCTATGGAGGATCTTTGCTGGACAATGAGGTATTTAGCCCATTGGAATGCATTGAACTGGTTTTCAGTTCATTTCAATTGGTTTTTTATTTTCGCTTAACGAGGATTTCGTTCTACAGCGATTTTGCTGGAACGGATTATCCTCATCAAGCTAGGCACCACTGTATAGTATGAATAAGGGCTGGTTATGCATTGCCACCTGCTGGGCAAAGTGTAGAACAGCTCTTCAGGGCCTGTGAAGCCTCTTCGAAACTTTGTGGACAAAAAAACCCAAACAAGACATTGGAGAAAGGATGCTAAATAAAATGGAATTGGGATACTTGGTTCCCCCTTCCCGACTGACGTGCACTGGCATTTATGGTTATTCATTTGAAAACATCCAGCTGTGGGTTGGTGATGTAAACAAACACTGCAAACTTTGCTTGTAAAATTCATTGTATTTGTATGTGTGTTTTTGCATGGATCTGAGGCTTCTGAATTCTGATACTTCTTTGAAGGGGTGATCAGAGCTATTGAAAGCAATTATTAAGCTTTCTTGTTAGGTAGTGCAGGAAAAGATTCTTGCACACAATCCGGGCCCCTATGCCTGGAAAAACAGCCATTAAGAATGGGATTTAGTTAAATAAACAGCTATATACCTGTTGAGAGGCAGAGGCATTGTGTGGCAGAGAATAAAGTCTTTTTTTTATAAATTGTTGTGGCTTCTAATTCTGAAATGAGAAAAGCTATAAGTGACCCCACTCCGGAAAATTGCTTTAGGAAGGAAGATCAATACACTTTTGCATGGCACTGCTTACTGGTTCCAACAACTTTCTGCACAGTCTTGAGAACTAAAAACTCGGCTTTAACATTTTAAAACCAAGAGGGGCAGAACAGTTTTCACTGGTGCTGATCGCAAGGGAGGTGGGGGTGAGTAAGTGACTCTTGTTCCTGGTTGTATAGGTACGTGATTCACACTGTTGTGTCCCTCACAGGACCCAGGCGGTTAGGATCCAGGACAATCGCTACCGCCACCCCTCCTGCTACATTTGCACCGACTGCGGTCTCAATTTGAAGATGCGAGGCCATTTCTGGGTTGGCGACGAGATGTACTGCGAGAAGCACGCCCGCCAGCGCTACCAAGGGCCAACAGGGGGCAGCACGGTCACAGCTGTCTACTCCCAGTCCTAAACCTCTCGACTCTGAGCAAGAAAGATACTGGTCCTGCCACCACCCTGAAATGCTTCTCCCAGGACATCATCAGCGTGGCCACCAAAAGGCTGCCTTGGGTCTCTTTCGACTGGCTGTCGGGCCTTTCCTTTCTTACACCATCCCAAATCCAGGGAAGGTCCAGCCGCTTGAGGCATACCCAAGCAGCAGAAAACAACACACACATGCAGAAGAAGAAGGAGAGAGAGAAGCAGGAAATGTGGGAAGAGGAATCACTTTCTTCAAGGCATTCTCAGTGAGCTTGGCAGGCGTGCAACCTGTTTCTTAGAAAGGTGAATGTCTGCATAACACAGGCACAGTTACTTTGGGCGCTTGATGGTTTCCAGAAGGAGCAACCCGGACCTTCTCTTATGCCAAGTGCACCTCCGGGGAAGTGGGGAGGCATGCAGTTAGGATGTGATTGATTATCTTTCTCATGCCATCCTCCTTCCAAGAGTAGCAGATGCAAACCCTAAATAGCTCTTGCCCATTCCACAGCCACTGGAGCAGAAAGTCTTCTTTCACTGTATCATAACTTTCCTGCTTCTTTCTATCCGGATCTGTATAGCAAACGGCATTGGAAAAGAAGGTTAGCCGTGTCACTGGAGCACTGGGTACCAGCATGGCATGAGTGCAGCTTTGACTATGGACTCTCTGTGAAGCTTCTCTATGATACTAAAGCCAGATCTCTATGTGAAATATAATATAATATATATATATTTCTCTCTGTGTGTATGTATGTATCTATGTAAAAATAGATGCCCAATGCCTGTTTTAATTTGTGGAGGGCAGGTGTGCTCCTCATGACTGTCTTTACAAACATGCCCCTGCAAGAAGTCCAAAACCACATGCTGATAAAAAACAAATGCACAAAAAGCAACAATCAGTTTCCTTCAGTTTTCATCAGCTGGGAGCAGGTCTTTTGTTAAGCTGATGGATCCTAATTGCCCATTCAAGACCAAGCCAGCCAAAATACTTTGTATAACAAAAAGAATTGCTGGTAAGAATATACTGTTGCTGGAAAATCCCTTCTCGCCCCTAAGGATGGCCAGAACTGTGGATCTGAGAGAGCAAGGCCAAGGTCTCCTCTGTTTATCAAAACATCTCTCCATTTTGGGAACCCTGGCTCCAGTCCAGCCCAGTCCTTTATTTCATCACCCAGGCACAGGGAGTAGTTGTTTTCTGGGTTTGTGTGTGTGTCCTTGGCATTCTGCACAATTTCCTGATCGTGAGACGAAATGCCTTGTTATTCCAGAAAGACATTATTTCAGATCCTTGAAAATGGTTTTCAGTTCATTCTTCCAAATATTTAGGGAGGGATTGTGGAATCGTCTTGCGCCCCGAGGGATTGCTTTGGGTGCAAAAAACTAGAGAAGGGGCTGTTTGATCTCCACAGGAGAGGCTCACTTGCTTGCCTCCAAGAATCTCGGGTTGCTGTCACGCCTGGAGAAGGCAGGAGGAGAGTCCTCATTCGAAGCAAGGGTGGTGCAAAAGGGGCCATCGCCTTGAAGGGATGCAACTAGTCCGTTGGGTGTATTGCTCTGAACTTAAGCTTCACTGAATACAAGGTTCACCTTTACAATGCAATTTAAACTGTCCCGTGGTGAGCCACTGCTGCTTTCTGATAAGGTCAGACATTGTTCTGCCACTGGTGTTTGATATTACAGTGCGGCAGCAACAGTTTTGATTTTGTTACACATGCTTTTGCTTGGGATGAATTATTAAATAATTACTGGGGTTACCCAGAGCAATGGCTTGAGGTGGGGTGAGAAAGTTGCCTTGCAAGATTTACTCTCAACTGCAGATTCTTGATGCACGACAAGGACTGTTAATATTCTTAGTTCTAAAGTATACGTACCTTGTAATTCCACTTTCTTGTTCTTTGCTACTTTGATGCAGTGGCTGAAAATTAGTGCCATGAATCATTGCTGAGGTTCGATTCAGACATGCTAGGCCATCTCCAAACGCCACCATGTCACCGTGAACACGCCAGGTCTGATTTTAGAAACGAAGCAGGGCTAGGATGGCTGAGGATCTCCAGGTAGGCGTCCTGCTTCAAATGCTAGAGAGGTGCTGTGGGCCAAAGGTTGCAGTACTGGGGTTGATGAAATAACGATCTGATTCTGTATAAGGCAGCGTCTTTATGTTCCTAAGTGTACTGTGCACACACATCTCAACATTATTCTAATAAACGATAGCACATTGGTACAAGGCAGTGTGAAACGATGCATGTTAGTGTTGCAGAGCAATCAGAATCTGATGAATTACAGGTGAGAACAATGTGGGTTGTTGACAGGCTGCTTGCCTTTAAAGAACAACAGATCACAGTCTTCTTTCCTTTGTATCACTGGTGTAGAGATGATGCAGGAAGCCAGTGTAAACTTCCTAACTAAACAATTTGCACACCACAACAGTGATCCTCTATGATCACATTCAGAAAGGCATAAATGAACACATTCATAAGGACGTTATAAATGAAATATGCGTACCTACCCTAAGACTTGCTGCATGAACATAAGCATTAAAAAAATTAAAATGTGATTTTATAAACTCCCCACTAAATGGAAAATACAGCTTCCGTCCAGCTGAAATCTCCTTGGGCTGCATGGCAGCAAGCAAGCCCAGTTGCTAAAGGTCTGCTTGAATAAAACGTTCCCCAACCCACACGCTGTATTTTCAACTGTTTCTGTTTCCCTGAAATAAGAACAGCTTATTGAACAAGGCATTATTTCCTTACACGTAGTAGAGGTAATTAGCCAAAAGAGGGCACTAGTTCCCATTAAACAATCTGCATCTTGTGCTCATGCTTGCTAGACCTCTAGTTCATAGCCCGCGGTGCTATGAGAAACCCTTGGGCCCTGGCTGAAGAGTGCAGGAGACAGCACTGTATATAAGCAGATGATAGCTGTCTTAGTGGGATATTTTGGGTTGGGTGGATGTTAAACACACAGAGAAGGGACAAGTTGGACCTGCTCCCTTATAATTTGGTTAGAGTAACATTGACCTGTTGCTTGTGGTCCACCCCCCTTTGTGTGTGTGTTTTTTACCTGCAAAGTCTGTGTGCTGTTTTCTCAGCTGGATTATTGAATGCTGGATATGCTAACGTGCTTCTTCTGCTGTGTGCTGTCACATTCAAGGGGTGAGGGTGGGAGAAAGGAGGCCCTGAATTTCACTGTAAGCCTATGGCACAGACAGACACTCTGGGATATGCCATTTTCTTCCCTCATTCTAACACCACTGTGAGGAAAGACTGAATATCTACTAGAGTGCAGGCTTCAGTGTGCAGAAAGCCCTAGCATAATTGCCTACTTTATTTCTTCTTTTTTAAAATATAGCTGTATTGAGAGGCAGCAGGTGGAAGGAAGGCAGAAAGCGAGAACAAGACAGGCAGATAACTTCAGGGACCCACAACGGTCTCCCCAGAGACACTGAAATGGAGAAGCAGCTTAGCACTAGACGACTCACCGTAAGAATATGACTTGCAATGAATACCGGTAAATCCCATGAAGTTCTGACATAACTGAAAGTGGTAAATAGAGGTACAAAGCAATGTCTGAAAAAACCCAAGTCAAAAGCATCCTGTTGCAAGGACCCCCCTACCTTTTTCCTGGCCAGTTGATCACATTTCCTGAAAGCTAGTGGAGATAGTGATGCTCCAAAGTAGCGATGGATGCAGACGGCTGAAGTAGCAGTTCATTTCTTGCCAGTTCATGCCAGTTCATTTCTTGGTGGAACAGGGTTTGTTTGGCAGTTGCCAACCCTGCCTCCTCCAGCAGCTGCCCACTCAGAGGAAGCACCTGAGGAGGCAGGGCAGGGAAGCCAGGGCACTGCCACTGAGTGTGTTCCCGCCATATCTACCCCAGAGCTGTCAGCCAAATCTAGTTAAAGTCTGAGCATCTATCTTAAAGAAACTTGCATCTGTTACATTCTTTTACCTCCTGCTCCAGGCAGGTAAATCCAACAACCTGTTGTCTCTGAATCCTTGGGCATCTCCATCTTTACATGGCACATGCCAAGGTCAAATTACATGTTAGGAGAAACGTAAGCATGCTGGGATGGTCTGCTGGGAGACACAAGATTTGGAAGCCAAAACAAGTTTCCTCCAATATATGCTCTCCTCCCTTGTAATTGCCCACAAAGATACTGGGCTCCTGTTGAACTGCAGGTTTCATTATCCCTTGCTTTTATTTATGATAGCTAGGAAATTGGAATCCAGTCGCAAATTCCTTGTTGCTGTTTTGCTGCAAAAAAAACGCCAAATGGGGCAAATAGTATGTAGCTGGGAGGGAATGTTAAATTTTGGAGGGTTTCCTAGAAGAGAGAATCAAGAGGCTTATAAGGTCAGCCCTCATGCTAGACTGAGTCAATTGACTCAGTAGCAAACATGGATGCCACTGAAGAATGTATATTTGTCTCACGTTTCATTTTCACTGCAAGAACAGAGTGTTCTACGGATTTCTCCCCAGGGTCGAAAGGACTTAAACATTCACCAGTTGCTATTGGAACATATAGCTTGTCTGTTCTTCCCCCTTGAATCTGCCAGAAAGTAAGCACAAAGTCGTATAGGAGCCATGTTAACTTGGGGATTCAGACCTTTATTTAAGCATGTCCTCTCCCTTTGTAAAAAGGTATCATACCGACACTTCTTTATAAGAAAAAAAATTGAGTTTCTATTTACAATCATACTTGTACTGTAATAGCAAAGGTGACAGACGTCCTGTTCTAGCTGGAGATGCTTATTTACTTGTCTGTCTGTCTGTCTGTTTGACTTCTATGCCACCCACCTGGCTCCCAAAGCCACTGGTGCTCCCTTCATTTCTGGAGAACAAAGGCAAAATGTCTCCATATTGGAGAAAGACAACAGAAAGGTGTGTGAGCGAAGTAAATGACAATTGGCAGCCCTAAGAATAGCAACCCTAAGAACAGCCCTCTAAGCTTAAAGAAGGGTCATCGCAGGTCACCATGACACAGGTCATATGCAAGTAGAGGACGGCATAGGAAACCCAAGGCGATTCTTTTTCTCCCCATGCCAAGGTGTGCATCTTCTTGAGTGTAGGTTGCATTGCACCCAGTCACTTCCAATGGAATCCGGGGCATGGGGGAGATTCATGGGAGGGGGTGGAATGTCTTCTAGTATCTTTCAATGGTGGGTCTTCTGTTTGAGTTGTATGGTCCAGGGTGAGAATGGGATGTACGGTTTGGACGTGCATTTATTTTATGTTTCCCACCCCATTCGCCCAAGCGTTGGGGCTTCTGGCATGCGCGGAATGCTTTTTGGGGTGTGGGTTGAGTGAAGGGGATCAGTGGGAGTCGTTCCTCTCTGGAGAAACACAAAAGAGAGGTGTCCACCCCTTTCAAGCCGTGCACACAATGGCGGGTGCCAAAGGCCTGGAAAGGCATCCTGGGTGCCGCCCCACTTCCTGTTCTGGGCCGCATTCCTGCCATGAAGTCACCACAGAAACGGCCAGCCCAACATGTCCTGGAATGCAGCCTGCACATTCCCCACATTCAGAGACCGAAAGCAAAGGGTGAGGCAAGGAAGAGAGCCCTTTCGTCAGAGTATTTCACCCAAAGGAGCAGCAGCAGGGAGCAGCAAATGTATCGGATTTTTGCTGCGGAAATAAATCTTCCATCCTTAGGCTTTGAGAAAACATTGAAAGGAACCAGAGTGTAGAAATGTTCTTTTGGAGGATACGTCTCCAGAATCCCACCACGACCA